AGAAAACAAGTTACTGATATACAAAGCCATCATCAAGCCCATTTGGACTTACGGGATCGAACTCTGGGGCTGCGCTAGCAAGTCAAACCTTTCAATCATTCAACGAGCTCAATCAAAAATCCTTAGAAGCATTGCAGATGCGCCTTGGTATGTCTCAAATGAAACGCTACATAGGGATCTGAAAATCCCATTCATCAGGGAAGTCATCATGGAAAGAAGTTGCAAATACCATGCTAGGCTTAGCGACCATCCAAACCCACTGCTGCCATCGCTATTAGATCCCACTGAGACCAGGAGACTGAAAAGGAAATTGCCACTAGACTCGCAAGACTGAGGTGACATCGTTGGATGTCTGCTTCATCCCGTCATGAGGTACAACTACTTAAAAATTGTACCATCCAGCAAATTAGCTTATAGAATGTACATACACTCTGACCGCTAATAAAGTAGAGAAAAAAAAAGGTTGCTTGTACATATACATAGGGTTTTTCACAACTTATCCGACAAATTTTAAGGGAAAGAAGTTGATTTCTCTAAAAAAAATGTAATAAAAATCCTACAGAAATTAAGTTATAAACCTAAGTTTCAATACTAAATTGAAACATAAATATCTGTATTTTGCGTTCATCGTCGTGATATTAGAACACGCATTAATAATTTATTGTAGCAAATGTTGTACCAAACAACTGACGAAAACAAAATATCAAGAATTTTTTGTTTTTCATACTATCAGGAACCTGTAAATAAAGTTTAATCTGTATCGTGGGTGATCTGAATGAAGAACGGTCGATTTTTGTGAAGTTAGATAAGAAATTATTTTGCGAACTTATGTTTTTAGTTATTTATTAATAAAAATGGCATATGTGTACACTAATGGGTGAGTTAGTGGACATTGCTTTAGCGTACGGAAAAGCAGGAAAAAAATCGCTAGCGGCTTGTATGCACTCTGATTTCCGAATAGGCACGTACAACATCACGAAACATTTAGTTCAACTGTTTTACGTGTACGTGCTAGTGGAGATTTGCAGACGTGGAGTGCATGCGAGTCGGGTTCGTCCACAAAGCGTTTTAACTGCCAAAGACGAAATTTTGGATATTGTGGAAGAAAATCCGGGAATAAGCACAAGGCAGTTAGCCCAACAGGTCCCAGCTGTACCCTTATCACGTCCAGAGAGTCCAGGCATTGCTACCCTCAGACTACCCCCTAAAAGTAAGATTTTGTGAGTGGTTCTTGCAAGAAAATGCTCGAAATGCCCGTTTTACAGCGGATATTTTGGCCACCAATGAAGCAACTTTTACTTGTAATGGGATAACCAATCTTCGTAATACACACGTTTGGTCCTTTCAAAATCCTCACACAGTGGTCAAGACACACATCCAACATCGTTTTTCTTTAAACGTGTGGGCAGGTATTGTCGATGAACGTCTAATTGGGCCGTTCATATTACCAGATCGGATGAATGGTTACCAGTATTCGGAATTTCTTTGGAATGATTTGCCGGTCCTTCTTGAAGATGTGCTATTGGCGGTCCGAGCACGGATGTGGTTTCTGCACGATGGGGCAGCTCCGCGTTTTTGTTTAGACGTTCGTGATTTTTTTAATCAGGTATACCAGGTACGCTGGATCGGAAGGGCTGGACCAATTGAATGGCTTCCTCTGGACTTCTTTTCATGGGGATACTTGAAAGACGAGGTATACCGTACTCCCGTTCAGAATATTGACCAATTTCGTGACCGAATCACAGTGGTTGTCGATAATTTGAGCCTTCAGGCACAGCAGAATTGAGGTGAATTTGAAATAGTGCGCCGAAATTGGATTAGATGCGCCCAAGCTTGCATTGCAGTCAGTGGAAACAATTTTGAACAGGTTTTATAAGTAAGGGAACTGTTAAACTGTAATATTTTATTATCTCGATTTCTGTAGGACTTCTATTACATTTTTTTTGAGGAATCAATTTCTCTCGTAACAGTGGATATGTGTTTAAAATTTGTAGGATAAGTTGTGAAACACCCTGCATAATAATGCATCGTCTGTAGGGGTGATTACTAATAATTAGAAAAGGTATAAATATGTATATTCTATTTACTTATACAAAGCTACATTTTTGAGTATATTAGTAAATTTTCTAAAATGAAATAAAATGCATTCTGGAAACAAGATCCACTACCGAGCGAATTCATTTAGAGTTCTCAGCATCGTCAATATCTAAACTGGCAAAGCCGGTAGCAGTTACTCGTAAAGAGAAATACCCATGCTTCCCTGCTAATTCATCTTTCTGTACTTTCTGATTTGATTTGGGTTCTATTAGGCAAGCCGAAATTGGCAAGATGGCGCGTAGATTTTCGCATACTATACGATCTTTGAACAGAATGATCCCTACATCACTAATCTTTTGATGTTCACGATTAACCTCACGTATGCTATTCTATACATATACATTGTCTACGCCATTATGTAAATCAATCTTTATCAAAATGCAGGTAGCGTATCGCATAAATGATCATCGTGGTGACGGCACAAAAGAGTATATATAAAAAGTTTTATTGTGTATATATTTTTCTAATAATAATAAATTTTATTTTTTCTTTCAGACATGCATGAACATGTATCGGTTTCAACAAAAAAAAAAATATATATTACAAAGTAAATAAATAAAAAACAAACAAGTAACATGCAATAACAACCAAGTTAATATTATTAACGCTATATTTAAAAAACTGTCAAAGTCGCTAATTGCATAAAAACAGTTACTGGTAAAGTAGCTTTTTAGCTCAGATTTGAATTGAAATGGAGTCAGACAGGTTGTTAAAGGCCTAAGGCCTAAACATCCATGGGTTACCGTGATGGTATAAGAAGATTCAGGGGGACGCAACGCAGACTCGCGAGGGAACACGTGTGCATGCAGCATGCTCACATTCTGGCCACGCCTACAATCCGCCGGGTGGTTCCTCCACGCTCAACAGTCATAGACTGCCTACCATCTACCACTTAGCTACATAACTATTATATTGTAGAGAAAAAGAGAAGGCAGTGTTATTATTTTCAATCTCTTGAATAATTATCTGCAAATGTAGGTGCTGCTTACTCCCACCATAATCCTTACCAGCTGCTTTTGACTTAAGAACACCTTAGAACAGTTCACCGATGAATCCCAGAAGCACAACGCATATAGCATGCCATACTCAACCTGACCATGATATAACATCAATAGGTGATCTTATGTGAAAACAGACCTCATGCTCTTGAATGCTTGCGAATTTAGTTTTGATGACAAATAATCCCAATGTACTTTAAAGTTGAGACATTGGTTGACGGGAGCCCTAAAAACGTTTACGACAAGCTCAATCGCTGGTATCGACGTCTTAACGTTTGGGAACCTGATTGATGTTGTACACTAAGGTGTTAGTTACATTTATTCATTAAGTCCACCTCGTCTTTTTTGATGTAATAATGGAGGCATCGTCCGCATACAACGTGAAGTGTACTCCGGAGAAACATTGCTCCAGGGTATTTATATAAAAGGAGAACAGCACTGGCCGCAATATAGATCCTTGTGGTACGCCTATATCTATGTTAACCATACCCGATTTGACCTGCTTCAGTTGACCAGCGTTGTTGTGTGTTATTGCCACGAATTTTGACCTATTCTGTAAGCACGATTTTATCCACAGATAGGCTGAACCACCAATTCCATAGTCAGCTAGTATTTCATGACTGACACAGTCGAACGCCCTACTGAGGTCACAAAATATCCCAACAGGGCGTCAATACAGATGACTAACGTGTTTATAAATGAATGACATGCGGTCATGGTTGACTTTCTATTTCGGAAGCCATGTTCATTGGATGATCGAATGTTATTGCTTTCCAAGAACAGCAGAAGTCGATCTAAAAAACAATACTCAAGGATCTTGGAAAAACAGCACGGAACAGTCACCTGTCTGTAATTGCTGACCAAAAAAGTATCTCCTTTCTTATGAATTGGAGTTACTTTTCCTGTTTTTAGGTTGTTTGTAAATACACCAGTGCAGAATTATAGATTAACTAGAAAAACAAAAGGTTTGGTTATGTACAATAAAATTTTCTTGACTAAGAAATTCATTCGGAACTTCACCGGCGCCTGTAGAACGCTTGTTTTTTTAACTTATCATTAATTAATTTATAGAATGTTTCTTCCAAGAACAGGTATAAAAACATAACAGATTTTTGGTCGCAAGCATGATCACTTGGAACTGGATTGATGTTCCTAGATATTTGTTGAATAGTATCCAAAGGAGCCTGTTTAAAATAGTTGATAAGATAATTAGAAAATTTTTGTGGATTTCTAATGATTATTCCATTATCATCCAGTACATGTTCTTTGATACACTATTTCTTCCATTTATGTCTGAAACCCTATATTCCAGGCAGCCTTCATCACGTGGTGCGACTTGGATGTTTTATGCCTTTCTTATTTTCCTGACAAGCTTCTGGTGTTGCTTTTTAGCATCTAGATGATGTTGTCTGTATTCAGGGATAATTCTGTTTAGGCAAGCATAAACTCGACAACTTTACATTTTCATCGACACAATTCTTGCTGGTGTTTTTAATCATAAACTTACGTAGTGGAAAATATATTTGGAAGTGATAGTCAAACATTTGAAAGAAGTACTCAAATTTGAACTTGATGAAGCTAATAATCAGAAAGTACGTCGCTCGGGTTACCAATCCTTCTGCTCCTGTTCTTTTATTTCGGGCATGGCCACGACTGTCCTTTGTTTTTCAGTATTATCAATATTCGACCAATCCACCGTATCCCCTCTATTGTCTGAACAATTGTGAGTGGTGTTGAGCCGAAATCACAAACAGTATAACATGGTGACAAGAATGAGTTGACCTGAAGACGATACAAGTTTTATCTACTATTTTCATTTTTCGTCTGAGTTACGGTTTTGACCTGACACATACAATATGATAAGAAATCAAACAAATCTATTATCACTATGATGTCTTTTTACAGGCAACAAGTTGAATTGGGGGCTTTGGAGGCTGACGCTACAGCTCTGGCTGAGCCACTAAACAACAACGATGACTTGGATGAACCAGCAATTGCCGAGGATACACCTGTGGGATCAGATGCTGAAGAGTAATAATTATAGTTATTAGGATTTTTCCCCTCTTTGCGATAGATTCTCCTCAGAGTAGAGTTCCCTTGTAGAGGAGGTTGTCCATATTAGAATAATTTTACTACAATGAACACTGGGAGCGCTAACCAACATAAAACGGTCCAGCAGTGTTGCGCGTATTACGCTGGATAGCAATAGCCGTGGAACTAGTTTCACAGTTCATTCATTCACCATTAGTCAACATACTGTCAGATTTGACAGTCAAAACTTCTGTCAAATTCACAGAGCTATTCCATATTCACTGCTATTCGGCATAAAAGCGCGGAACCACTTTACGTTGGCTGAACGTTCCTATTGTTTCTCAGGAAGCAACACATTTACTTTGATAGTTGGTGGTGTATTGACTTTTATTCAGATCCATTATCCGTCCTTCTTAGGCCTTCAGTTTGTCATTGTTCGAGTGAATGCGTGAAATATTCAAGTACTTGTAGATGATACTCAAAAAGATTATATGAATTTGCTCTTTACTCAATTACTTTATGTTCGAAATCTGTCGCAAAGAGAACTTTGGCATTCGCAGATAAGATACATCATTATATTGCATGTGGCATTACCTATAAAGGCAGACGCCCATCGAGTTTGCAGTCAACTTTATATAGAAATGAGTAATGTTATATATTACGAATCAATTAATATCATATCCAAGCTGCAATGTCTCATAGTTCTGCGAATGCATACTCAAAAATACTGTATTTTTCTTAAGTTGCTCACTTAATATAAAATTTAATATTAATTTAGTGTAATTTCACGCTTTGTAACTATCGCATTTACGTTTTGCATTTGTTCTTATTCATTGTTTCCTTTGTTATTGTTACGGATACGAAGAAGCGGTGATTGTAAATTATATTCTTTGAATTTGAAATACAGTCTCGTACGCAATATGCTGAATTTTTCTATTTATATATAACTTCTGACCCGTATCAAGGAGCAATAGGTTCAATGGTCTTATCTTCCTTGCAACAATAAATGAAGTTGCATATCTATGACTTGGAAGGTACTGACGAATCTACGTGATAGACGACACGCATTATTATGTGTTAAGCGAAGCCATGTTATATAAAGCATCAAATTTTCCCGTCAAATCAGATACTTTATCAGCATTGAATGGATTAAGGATAATTATACATCAAAGTCTGAAGAAAATGCTTCATAAATTATTACAAACACACATCACGAAATGCAAACGAGTAGTTATTGTTATTTATGTGATACAAACCGCAGTTTAGAATGCGGCATGGATACATTTGATTTGTGTGACGTAGCTGTACAAAGCAACTACAATGACATTAGTTTTGCAAAATATAATATTATCACTTAATAATCGGTGCTTTTCTGTCTACAACGGTGTATGGAAATTCTAAATAAGAAACTTTTCATAATATTCGTGAGAGAAATGTCTTTTTTTCAGAAATTTTTTTTTAATGATGGAACCATGGTTTTGTAGACATGATAACTTTCAATTCTCTAAAGTTTTCCGCATGTCAAAGAAAACATTTATTGATTTAGCAGAAATGATGAAAAAATGATGAAAAAATATATTAGCAAAACCGTATACAGGTGGACATCATTCAGTGAGTTAAGTGACCATATTTTAATATTCTTGTGGTATATGGCTACACAGGATACTTTGTTAAACACAGGAACTAGTTTGAAAGTGTTCCCAACAACAGTAATGAGTATAACTTATAAGGTGCTCCACTTTATGCTAACACTGAAGTCAGCCTGTATCAAGTTTCCCAAAAATGAAGCTGAAGTACAATAACAATATCCAATACCGGGCAAAACTCTAACTTGTCACATTTCAAATAATAACCAGAAATATAAAACTACTCCTGAGTTGGGTAAATACCACAATTTTGCGGTAATAACTGTGACATATAACAGCTGATTAATGACGTCACGGATCTTATAACCAAACTGATAACCACACTCGCTTGAACGGATCGGTAAATACCAACCCAAAATGGTAAATACCATTTTAATTTGGTTATCCGCTTGAACTTGATTATTATGTTTTATGGATGCTATATGACTGTCTGTCGGTCGGCCTGTCAACACACACACACACCCACCCACCCACACACTCACACACACACCCACACACACACACACACCCACACACACACCTACACACAGACACACAGACACGCACACACCTATAACTTGAGAAGTACCGCTCGAATTTTGATAAAAATTTCACAAAAAACGAAATAAAGAACAGTCGAACTTCTTTTTTGACGTTTCGGAGGGTCAAAAACTTTTGTAGAGGTTACAATTTGCAGCCTATCGGGAGTGGGGGGGGGGGGGATATATAATTTTTTATCATAGTACATTTCTCTCTGCCTTTGAAACTTATAATGATAGAAAAATGAGAAAAATGTTTTTCCGCGCGAACCACTCAGGCTTATATATGTATTTGTACTGATGCCCAAACAATACACGGAAATTGCACAGACCCAAAGATAACGCACTGCGGAAAGGGACAGCGTTGCCACATGCTCGGTAACTGCCAGTAGGACAGGGAAAGGATGTCGGTGGACTAATTGTATGGGCCTCTTTGATTGACTTGATACGTTTATTTTCACCACTCTTGAATTTGAATTCTTCTCTGTTTCAAAATGAAACTTCATTTTTGGTGCCTTCGTTCACAACATTTCCCTGAATGTGAACTGTTCACCACTGCTAAAGAAATGCCAGGAATGTTGCTAACGGACTAGCGCGACAACTGAAAACAAAATTATTTACTTACTTATATTGCCACAGGAATCGTAGTACGTCAGTGACATCTTCTCTACTTATTGGGTAAGGCTTTCAAGCCAACAAATAATAAAAATCCTACATGTGTCTTTAACGTATCTGCACAAATGTTATGTTTTACTAAGGTCCATGAATTACAAGCGAAAATGCTACTGTTGCTACGAATGTTTCGTCTGCATCGTGTATGTACATACAGCTTGCCTTGGTATTGTAACAGTGCCACCTTTTCGCTTTAGTAGGATAAAAAGTAGTTACTGTAGATACGACTGTTTCATCTCGTAACATGTACAATAACTTTTATGTGCTTAGAGATGTAATACTTGCCACTTCTTTGCTCTAGTATGTTGGCTAGTAATATTTACAGTTCACTTTTATAAAAACCTAAACTCAGTGACATTAGAAGTGTTACATCCTGAAAACATAGTTTTTCAACTTGTTTTTTGGCAACATAATGACTATATTCAAAGCATGTTGTGGCGACAATGTCAACTTTTTATCTTTGTTTTTGTTTACCTTTGTTAAAATGTTATCCCTTAGTTTTTGTTAAGAAAGCAGTTTCTGAGAGCTGAGTAGTACAGATATTTTTAGTTTTGCCCTTTCAATTACTAGTGTTAAGCATAACAAAATGCTTCGAGTTCAAAGACGTCCAAAGTAGCACCATGTTAGCGACTTTGACAGGGGTAGAAGTATTGTATATCGAGATGTTGGTTTGTCCTATCGCGAAATTAGCCGCCGTGATAATGGTACAATGTCAGTAATGCGTGTGTGTTGTGTGTGGATAGAAGAAGGTAGAGGATCACGGAGAAGGAAAACTGGTCGACCTAGGCGTACAACAGAGCGTCAAGATGGGCTCTTCAGACAACTAGCCCTACAAGACCGTTTTGCCACTACGCGTCAGATCACTGACCAATGGTTTGGAGAAGAAGGTAGACCTGTTACTATGCGTACAACACTATCGCCGCCTTTTAGCCTTTGGACTTTTTTCATACCATCCACGGTTAGTGCTTCCCCTGAGTGCAGACCACTGTCGTCAACGTTTGAACTGGAGTAGAGAACGGCAACATTGGGAGGCAGAATGGAATAATGTCATCTTCAGCGACGAAGCGGGATTCTGCCTAGGTACGCACGATGATCGTAGAATGGTTGAGAACGGCGTGATATTGGATTTGCTGTTGAGAGGCATGCACACAGGACTGTTGGACTTATGAGTTCGGGGGATATTGCCTATGGTAGCCGATCACGATCACCCCTTCTCTTTGTTCAAGGCGCGTTATGTTGATGATGTCCTACAAACCACTTCACTGCCGTATCTTGAGTACAACGCACATCACCATATTGCTCGTCATACTATGGACGTTCTTCAAGAAGCAGGCGTTAATGTTTTTCCGTGGCCATCTCGTTCACCGGATTTAAATCCCATCGAAGATATGGGGGATAGAGACACTGCACCATACGCCACAGACTCTGCCACAGCTAATCCACGAAGTTCGTGTTGCTGGAAATGAGGTGCTACAACGAGACACCGACCATCTCCTTTTGTCAATGCCTAGACGTATACAGTACAGGAGTGTATTCAGCTGCGGGGTCGCCCAACACATTAATTTTTTTTTTCATATTGCTTGTGAGTAAAATTTCGTGAGAATTTTATCGTTTCATTCTTAATGTAAAGCGTCTACCTAAATGCCAAAAAATCAAGTTGAAGAAATTATTTTTCTGGGTCTAACAATTACAATGTTACTGAGTATTATATGCTTCGCTTAGGGTACATTTACTATCAATTTGTTTTCCGCATAATACTTATCTCATAATTTATCTCAAGTTAAGATGACTGTATTGTAATAGATATTCTCACAGTCGTATCAGAGAAAACAGATACCAAATATTCAAACAAACAATCCGCGATCCCACCTTGCCTGCCGATTATACTGTCACACACATGGTAGCAGTAGCGGCAGCTAAGTACTACCCGACGCCATCATTCAATTGACCTCTTACGAACTTAATTAAGCACTAATCCAGCCAGCGTTCGTCTTGATTGCGTAATACACTCAACACAACAACACTGTGAATTCGACGATGAGATTTGACGCGCACCCGCAATCTCAGTCAGTATTTTAATAGTGGAAAACATCAAGTTCAATATTGCTTCCCTAGTAGCTACTTGGAGGGCATAGACAGGAAGTGCAGTGCCAGGTAAGTCGACTTGTAATGATGTATCAAAGCCATGCTGACTGTAATGTGTTTCGATTGATTTATGTTTTATACGGTTAAAGTGTGGTCGAAAACAAGCTTAAAAATACCATGTATCAATCCCAGTTGGTTACAGTCTTGACTTCGACGGGGCTATTTCAAATCAAAAAATTCTCCAGCATGACTAGTTTGATTTTGGGGTTAAAGAGACGTGAGTTTATGTTTTGCGCAACTCAGCCCGGTTTATTAGACTATTTTAATTGCTGTTTTGTGTGTGCTATTGCAAATAAACCTGGAGATGCGCTGTAAGAAATCTACTGCAGTTACAAAAAAACTTCAAGCATAGGGCTTACCGCCGTATAAGCCGTATCAATGATATGGGGCCCTCCAACTTAAAGGGGCCACCACGTACCAGAAAAATCATGCACAATATCACGCAAGTCTTTAGGCCGTTCGCTGAATTAAAAATTCTCAAGCAACGAACCTTAGATTGTACGGCTGGGTAAAAATAGAATGCTTCCTATTATTAACCCTCTAGATTATAACCGCAATAGCTGAAAGGAGCTTTCAGAAATTTAAAATTATTAACATATCTTAGGACTTCTACGAGGCAACTTTGACTATCAAGCATGGTACTGTCATCAGAGGCTGGAAATTTCGAAACATTAAAATCGTCTTTCGCTATGGATGGTTCATATACTAAAGTCTAATTTCACTCGACTTTCTCAGTTTGAAAGGGGTCGGATAATCAGCTTACGTCAAGCCGGATTTTCTTTTAGAGAAATCGCTGATCGGGTGAATCGAAACGAAGGTACTGTAATGAGATGTTGTTGAGCGTGGTTCCAAGAAGGCCGAAATCGACGAGTTAGAGGTACTGGAAGGCGACAGGATTGTTATTTTAGGCAACTATCACTTAGAGAGGGCAGTTACGA